ACACACACACACACACACACACACAAACAAAAAAAACAAAACAAAACAAAAAAAAAAAAAGCCCCGGTAGCACCCCTCCCAGGGCCAGGGGAACAACCGCTACTGCCAGCAACGGCCAGAAGGGCATACCGAAAAAGTGGACGGTATGGGTAGGGGCATATGGAAAATTCGTGTGCCTGTCTGAACGGCTATCTGGTAGGGGCAAACTGGAAGTTTGGCACCAGTACCGGTAGGGGCATATTGAAAATGGCTCAGGTCCAAATGACGCAAGGAGTTTTTTTGGAAACTTGAATCACTGTCAGATGGGCAAATCAGGGGAAGTCGGCCGTCGGAGGGGCAAATCCCATGCAAACTTCAGGGGCATTCTGAAACTTTTCTTAAAAAAAAATCAAACAAAGAAAAACATAATTCATATTCGTAGAAAGCCTCGCTTCTATCGTAGTGGGACCACCATGCCAAGGATGGCTAAGAAAAAGGGAAGACTAGAAAAAGCGTTGGCAATGGGGTCAGGAGTCAGGAGGGGCATGGGGGGCAGAGGACGCCTACGCGACCCCAACATGGAAAAAAGCTTTGAGTGTGTACCTCTACTCTAGAAAAAAGCTTTGAGTGTTATACTTATATATACGTGTAGGCATCAACTGGAAGCATAGGAAGCCATAGGAGATCACATTATCCGTTATCGGCGGGATCGAGGGGGCATCCGCCGTTCATTCCGTGGTTCTCATCTGGCCAGTGATTCGAGCGGCTTTGACGACTCCCGCCCAAGCGAAAACACCCTCTCTCTTTTGCTCCTCAAATCCCCGCGCCAAGATTATTCGAAAAAGGCAGAAAAGGACTGAGAAAAAAAGGAAAAAAAGGACAAACAAACAGAAAAGCACCAAACGAAAAGAAAAGGAAAGGAAAGGAAAGAAAAAATGCGCCTAAAGGAGCCCTTTTTGATGGCGGACACCGGCGGACACTGGCGGGCCGACTGGCGGAGTGGGCGACTGGCCGGCCGGCTCAGCACGCGCCATGTCAACGACGCTTCGGCGGGTCTCGTCTCATAGCGGCTGGACGTGGGGAGGGCAACCAGAGGCTCTTTCCTGCTGCAGGCGTCGAGAGACGGATCGAGAGAGCGCGAGCGAGGGCTGGGATAGGTGGTCCAGGGGGAGAGCAAGCGGGGAAGCGGAGGCTGAGTGGTCGGTGAGGGAAGGAGGGGAAGGGAGGAGAGCGGGGGGAGGGGGGGTGGCAGTGTGTGGCGGGATCGCGCGGAGGACAGACCGTACTGGTGGTGTGGGTGTGTGGGATCTGCGACCGTCGGGATCGCAGGATAGGTGAAACCAGAGAGAGGGGGGCGCGCGAGTGGCTCCGCCTTCCTCCCCTTCCGCGAGCTGGCCTGCGCGCGCCTTGGCCCATGCACGCCCAGATTTGCCGGCTGCCTTATCGGTTTGATTCACCGGCTAGCCAGAGGTGCGGACGCTGAGAGTCGTTGCGCCGGTGTTGACGGTGTTGGAGGGGAAGGCGGTCATCTTCGGTTCCATCTTGTGCCCCCTCCTCCCGCCCCCCCCCACCTCCCCCCCCTCTCCCCCTCCTCTTTCCCCACCTCCCAAGGAGAGGATAGGATAGATCAGTGTTGCCGTCCGCCCATATCCATTCCTTCGTGTCGTCCATAGACCCGTCGGCGAACTTCCATAGCCATACAGTCTTTCGGCCATGGCGGCAGCGACCATGAGCTCCTCGTCCATTGCGCGGCTTGCCGCTGCCGTTCGCAGCAGCAGCGCGGGCGCTGCACACGCGGAGGCCGGCGCGAGGGTGTCGTTGGCGCGCACCAACGCCAGCCGCCTCCGGCTTAATGGCTTGGCGGCGTCTTCTTGCCCCGCTCTGCGCGGCGGAGAGCGGATCGAGGTGCTGGCTGAGCTCCCGCATGTGCGACAAGTTGCGCGGCTGGTCGCGCAGGCCCGCGCCGAAGGCTCTCAGCCGTCCTCCTCCTCCTTGCATTCGGCTGTGAACGAAGCCGTGCGCGCCGTCGCCGGCGGTGAAGAGACCATCAAGCGCTTGCGCCCGCTCGCGCTCGTCGCTGCCAATGCCTTGATGGCCTTCCCCGCCCTCGCTGAGGAGAAGGGCAAGATCTTCGACTTCAACCTCACTCTCCCCATCATTGCCGTCCAGTTTCTTCTCCTCATGGTTATCCTGGACAACGTCTGGTTCAAACCCGTGTCCAAGATCATGGACGAGAGAGATGAATCAATCCGGTCCAAGCTGGAGAGTGTCCGCGACAACTCCGGGGAAATCAACAAGCTGAAGGAGGAGGCCAGTGCGGCGATCAGGGAGGCAAGGAAAGAGACGGCGGCGGCGCTAGCGGCAATGAAGAGGGAGACGCAAGCGGAGCTGGACGCCAAGCTGTCGGAGACAAGGAAGCGTGTGGAGAAGGAGCTCGCGGAGGCTATGGAGGCGTTGCAGCAGCAGAAGGATGCCACGTTGCAGGGTCTGCAGCCAACGGTGGACAAGCTGAGCGAAGAGATAGTTAGCAAGATTCTGCCAGTGACCGTGAAGGTCTGAAAAACCCTCCAGGCCCTGTAAGAAGTGGAACACGCCTCTGCTTCTTCCTTCTCCTCCTCCTCCTCCTCGTCCTCCTCCTCCTCCTCCTCCTCCTCCTCGTTTCCTGCAGTTGTGCATTCTCCTGGGCCTGCAGCTAACGGTGGACAAGCTGAGCAAAGAGAGAGTGTCATCAAGATTCTGTCAATGACTCGTCACGGTCTGAAAAGGCTTACTGTAACACACACAGCAACTTCTTCCTTGTCTTTCTCCACCTCCTCTTCCCCCCCCTCGTCCTCCTCCACCTCCTCCGCTTCCCCCTCCTCCTCCTCCTCCTCCTCCTCGTGTTCCTGCTGTTGATCCTCCCTCCCTTCTCGTTCTCTTTTTTTAGACAAGTATCATCGATGTGAGAAACAGCGGCTGGTTCCTGTCAAAGGCAGGAGACGGAGAGAGGAGAGGAGAGGAGTGGAGAGGAGAGGAGAGGAGAGGAGAGGAGAGGAAGGGAGGGAGGGAGGAATTCGCTTCGCTCTGCAATATAGCCAGGGGATGGTGGACTCCAATTCCTAGGCTTCTGCGTTGGCGCGCAGTGCACTGATGGGAGAAAGGACTCCTAACACCGCAGGTGACCAGACTTGTCCGGTGCAATTGAATCGAGAGAGAGAGAGAGAAGAGAGGAGGATGATAAAAACGGTTCCTTTGTGGATGTTGACGTCAACTAAGAGAAAGGAAAGGAAGCAAGGTCAGGAATGCGGCGAAATGAACGGTCGGATGGATGGATGGATGGTGTCCTGACCTCTGAGTAGGCCGACGAAGATGAATGCGTGATGCTTCTTGGGGAATATCGTTTCGTTTTTCTGATAACGGGATGAAGGCAAAGGAAAAGGAGACTTGGCTTGATTGATTTTACTTAGCTTTATTTATTTATTTATTTATTTATTTATTTGTCTAATGTATTGATATTTTAGCCCGCAGACAGCCGCAGCTTACAGGCAGGTTCAACTGTCCCGAATGCTTTCCCAATCCCTCTGCTCTCAGCGCATTGCATGAAACAATGTACGTTCAAAATCGTTAATTTGCGATTTTTGAGGGCGCGGTCGAGCGGGTGAAAAACGGAAAAAGAACAAAAAAACGACAGCCTTCTGATTATCAGAGAGCGAAAATGACTCCATAACAAAAGAGCAAAATATTCCCCCCCGAAGGTCTATCCCTTGTTATGTATGTAACCATGTACGTACGTGTGTGTGTGTGTGTGTGTGTGTGTGTGTGTGTGTGTGTGTGTGTG